AGGAGCAAAAGTTGGCGCTCCTGCTCTTCTCCAGCGCCGCCCCGTTCAGCCGAGGACGGGGCTTTCGGCTGCCACCCCCGCCCTGCGGCCTCGGAGGGTTCAGGTGTCGGCTGCGAGTCTGATATGGGTCTCACTAGGCTAAAACCAAGGCAGCGCTCGGCCCGCCGCTCGGCCGGGTCTGGCCGCCTGGAGGAGGTGTAGGGTTTCGCGCTCCCTTTCCCACCCCTGCAAAGCGCACTTGGCATTTTCTGTTTCTTAGTTCAGCTTTCTAAAAACAGCCCCAGCGCTGGGGGGACTGTCTTCCACCTTTTCCGTTTCGGATCCAGTGGTTTTGTGGGGATTCTGGGTCACGCCGAGCTAACCAAAAAGTCCGCTCTCTTCAAAGTGGGCATCCTGAGTGTGGGTCTTTTTGTTGTTTTCTTCATGTGCAATCTTATCATTTCTCTTTCTTCTTTATTTTTATTTGGGGATAACATTTAAATTTCTTTCTTTCCAACTTTGTCACTTTTACTGGTTGAGTCTTTTTTCATGTCATTTGTTTTCGGCTTCAAGTCAACAGAAAAGTTGGAAGCATTTTTTTTCCTTATCCTTGGTTGTTTTTTTTGTTTTTGTTTTTGTGTTTTTTTTTTAGTGTCTTCAGTGACTTATGAATACATTCTCCTTGTAAAAACTTAATAAAAACGAAGCAAAAATCCCTGTGATCCTTCCCATTCCAATTTCACACACACATCCTTGGAGGTAGCAGTATTATCTGTTTCCTGAATATTTGTCCAGACCTTTTACTTTGCATTCTTACCAGCACATATGTATACATAAAGATGCTATAGTGTGTGTGTGTGTGTGTGTGTGTGTGTGTGTGTGTGTGACCAGCATAAACATTGCTTTGCAACTTTCTTTTTCTACACTACATCTTAGAGATCTTAACATGGCAGTAAAAATAGATCTGTTCTTTCTATAGAAACATATATAAGTTTATATATTATTGTTTTCTTCTGCTTCAGCTGTGTCTACGATAGAGTCTATTAAAATTAAAACCCTATATTTTTCTCCCTTCCTATTCTAACTCCCTAATGGAGTGGAGTTTGTGTTGAAGTTAGAGAATAGAACTGTTTCCTCCTGCTTGGTAGGTCGAGGGCCAGCCACTAAACCACACTGTCTGGGCTAGATCCCGTTTTTGAGATTTCAACATTTAAACGTTTTGATTATCTATAGTATTGTAGGTTAATTACATCTCTAGTTTATTTCCATTATTTGTATTTCTGATCAATTACCACTAAATAACAGTGAAATTGGGATAGAATGAATTGACAGGTTTTTCTTGTGACATTTGCATTTCAAATTATTTCACCATAGAACATATCTTTTCAATGGTAGTATTCAAGTATTGTTGTTTATTTAAATTTGGTTAATTATCTATTTTCCTCTCATGAAAGAAAATTACAGTTCACAAAATGTACTTTTACATTGTGGGAATGAAGATAATTTGTCATACGTTATTTAAGAGAAAAAGTATATTATACCAGTAGCCCCCAAATTCACCTAAACCAATAGAGCCTGGATTGAACGACAGTAGGCCAGGGATTGTCTTCTCTATGAGCCTGATAAAAATTTCAGTGTGGGATTTATTTTTTTAAACACTAATTGTCAAAGTCCCGAGTTAGAGACACCTATAAGTTTACATATTCAGATTTTCTTAATGTTGTTTATGCTCTGTCCACTGAGCACATAGGGTGGTGCTTTGGAATTCAGTGATTGTTACAACTTGTTAGCCACACATTTTAGTGTATATATAGTTTTGTAAAGATAAGCATTGCTTATAAAAGAAACTCATTTCTGTACATTTTCTCTTTCCATATATCTTTCATTTTAGACAGACTTGTCTACTACTTGAATTAACACTTTCTAACTCCTCTAAAGGATAATTGACAAAAGTAATTTTAAGGAACTTTTTGAAGGAGCCATTTGCTATAATACCTAAAATATTTAATATAAAGTATTTAAGTTATGATTAAGTAGGGTCTTGGTCAGTGTGGGCTGCTGTAACGAAATGCCATAAACTGGGTGGCTTATAAACGAGAAATCGATTCATAACAAATCTGGAGGCTGGAAGGCTGTGATCAGGTGTCCACATGGTCAGATTCTGTCTGGTGAGGTCTGCTTCCTGGTGCATCGCCATCTTTTCACCATACCCTCCGATGGCTGAAGGGCTAGCTTCTTCTCTGGGGTTTCTTAGAAAAGCCCTAAACCAGTTTCACTCACCTCCCAAAGATCCCACCTCCTTATTCTATCACTTTGGGCGTCAGGATTTCAATAGAGGAATTTGGGGATGAGAGGTATATAGTGGGCAGCCTGTGACAACTTTATAGTGGATCTAGAAAATTTTTTGTAAGGGGATTAGGAAGACAATGTCTGAATATTATTAAAGTCAGTATGTATTGAAATGGATAATTTTCCATTTACAGTGGGGCCTTGACTTACAAGTGTCTCGACTAACGAGTTTTTTGAGATACCAGCTGTCTCTTGGCCGATTTTTTGCATTGAGTTGATAGAGTAATTTGAGTTAACGAGCTCCTTAACGAGCTCGGTCTCAGAACAAATTAAACTTGTAAGTCAAGGCCCCACTGTACTCTCTTAATTAATTTTTATTTTGGGGAGTATTACAGATGTCCCCCATTTTGGGCACATCCTGAATTATATCTACATTCAGATTTACCAAATCCATAATGTGTTGCCAAGTTACATTATTTGAACGTCAGTAAATTCTGACTTTGCCTCCTTTTTAGCTACTGGGAAAAAGTGTTTCTTTAGTCTTGAAATCTCTGAAAATTGGAAAATGTCTGATTTTAGTAGTGAAAATGTCAAATATGAAAATATATCAAATAGAATATGCTAATTCTTGAATATAAGACCAACAGAGGCATATTTTCAGTCATAAATGTAGATAGGATAGGATCGCTCTGCTGAGGACTCCATCCTTCCCTGGATGAATGCGTTTAGGAGGGTTAAGAGCTTTGAGTAGCGCAGAACTTGTGTTACAGTTAGGTATTAGGTCAGTGTTTGCAAATGTTTTGACCACGATCCACAGTGAAAATACATATACATGGCAATTTGAGATACACACACACACTGAAATAAAAGGTTCTATGAGTGGGATTTAGCCTTACTAGGTGGGGTACATTTTAATTTAGATTCTTTATCATATTGAAAACGTTGAATATCCACTAATGAGTTTCAGCTTAAGGTTTATTTGCCACCGATACACTTTGGTTAAATGTTCAGATTTACCTTCTTAATAATTTAAGAATTCTTTACATATTCTTGGTGCAGGTCTGGAATTGGATATGCATTTTGCAGATATTTCTCCCACTTTGTCTTGTCCTTTATTTTTCTTAAGTGTCTTTTGTAGTTCATACTTTTGGTGTCCTATTTAAGACTCTCTACCTAATCCAAGATCAAAATGATTTCTACTATGCTTTTTTTCTAAGAGTTTTCTACTTTTAACTCTTACATTTAGGTTTATGAACAATTTTGAATTACTTATGCTATGAGGTAAGGGTCAAGTTTCAGTTCTTTGCCTATGAATGTGCATTGATTCATCACCATTTGGAAAAAGGCAGTCCTTTTCCCTTTGTTGAAAATCAATTGGCCATGAACATGGCTTTTCTTTCTATTTTTTTAGGTGTTCTTTCTTTTCCCTCAGCAATGTCTTATAATGTTATTTTTTACAGTGTACAAATCTACATGTATTTTGTTCTGTTGTTTCCTATATTTTGTTCTGTCTCTCCAGAGTTTTGTCACCCTTTGATTTTCATTTCCAGTTATGTGGTATGATGCCATTGGGGTTGTTACTTCAAGAAGACAGCAGTCAGTAGTGACAGATAAGGAGGTCATGAAAAGTATGTCTTGAAAAAAGACGATTGGACTCACTGATAACCCATGATTTCCAAGAGCAAAACCAGTAAAGGGGAAGCGACCAAAGGGACAATGTCAGAAAAGGAAGACCTGACCATGAGCTAGGGAGGACAGCAAATGTAGATGATGGGAAATTTGGCATTAAAAAGTTGTTGAA